ACAGTTGAGTTATAAGTTTAATTACAATGTGAATATATATTTAATAATATTTGATATTATTTCTAGAATTGCCTAGGCGCTTTAGATGGAACTTTCATTAGAATACAAGTGCCATCAGAAGATAAACCTAGATATCGATCTCGCAAGGGTGAAATTGCAACAAATGTATTAGGTGTATGTACACCTAATATGCAATTTGTGTATGTTCTTCCGGGATGGGAAGGATCTGTAGCAGACAGTAGAGTTCTTCGGGATGCATTATCTAGAAGACATCCACTTAAGGTCCCTAATGGTAAGCATTATAATATTAAATTCCAATTATCATGTAATATAATATGCATTCGTATTAAACTATAAACTTATGTTTCTAGGTTGTTACTACTTAGTTGACGGAGGATATGCTAATAGTGAGGGATTTTTGGCACCATTTAGAGGTCAAAGATACCACTTAAATGAATGGCGTCAAGGTCATCAACCGACAACTCCTCAAGAATTTTTTAATGTGAAACATGCAACTGCTCGTAATGTCATAGAATGCTGTTTTGGATTATTGAAAATGAGATGGGCTATACTTAGAAGCCCATCATTTTATCCTATTAGAATACATAACAGAATTATACTTGCATGTTGTTTGCTGCATAATTTTATTAGAAATGAGATGAATGTTGATCCTATGGAAGAGGAATTCGTACAAAGTAACGTCATACATGAAGATGATGATGTCACACAAATAGAGCCTTCAGAAGTTTGGAATAATTGGAGGACAGAATTAGCAAATGACATGTTCAATGAATGGATATCATCTAGAAATTAAGGACATGTTCATTGATGTTTGATTTTGTGATTTGGTGTTTTTTTGTAATGTGGTTTATGAACAATGTAATGTATTTGAGTGTGATGAATAATTTATTATTTCAATTTATTTGTAGTTAAGAATGGCTTCTCCCCTTACTTCTGCAACCATTGGATCTCAAAGTGTTAAGCAAACAAAAAGAAAGTGGACACCCGAAGAAGACATTATATTAGTGTCCTGTTTGACTGAAATGCATACTGTAGGAAAATTTAATTCCGATACAGGGTTTAAGACAGGTTATTTATTAGAACTTGAAAGAATGATTTTGAACAAAATACCAAATTGTACCATAAAAGCTAAGCCACATATTAAGAGTAGAATTAAAACTTTGAAAAAAGAATGGAGCATTATTCATGATATGGTGCAAGGTAAGAACACTAGTGGGTTCGGTTGGAATGATCAAAAGCACATGGTGTATGCTGAAGATGCAATTTGGGAGTCATACTTAATTGTAAGTATTTACTTTTTTTTTTGTACTTTCATTTATTTTTATTAATGTATACATACAAATAATTTATTTATGTTTATTATAGAGTCACAAAGAAGCTGCCCCTTTTAGAACAAGAAGCTTTAGGTTTTATAATGAGTTATCTGCAATATATTCTAAAGATCGTGCAACTGGAAAAGATGCACAGACAGCAGATGACGTAGTTGAAAAAATACAAGATGAAGAAGAGAATGATATAAGAGCTGACACAGAAGATAGTGCATTCGTTGGTTTGGATGATATTGATTTAACGAGTACACAACCTGAGCCACAAAATGATGGTAGAAAAAGAAGCAATTCAAGTAAGAGAAAGAGGAGTCATGATGAAGCTATTGAGATATGTGCTGAGAATATGCTTAATGCTGCAAAGCTAATAAGCAATACAATGTCAGAGGTTGGTAAGAGTCTGTCTGATGGTCTTCAATATGATCGTGATATGGATATGTTTCAGAAGCTTGAACGTGCATTAAAAGAGGTTGATGGTTTGGCAAATGATGAAATGGACATTGTTTCGTTTAAGCTCACTGATCATCCTAATAAAGTAGCTTTCTTTCTCAGTCTTGATTCTGATCGAAGACTACAATGGATCAGAAGATTCCTTGCTATCAATTAATCATTTTATGAACATTGTAACTTGCATTGGATTGTTTTGAGTATTTTGTTAAAAATAACATATGTTATGCTTCTTTTGAATATTGTTAAATGTTCTTTACAAAAGTTTGTTATTTATATGACTATTTTGTTTTGAGTATTAATCACTAGATATGACGATGATGATGATATATAATAGTTGTTGTAATAATAATAATAATAATAATAATAATAATAATAATAATAATAATAATAATAATAATAATAATAATAATAATAATAATAATAATAATAATAATAGTTTTTGTACAAGGACATTTATGTCTTTTAATCCTATATTCTATTCCTATTCCTTAACCAACCAAACATTGGAATACAGTTCCCAATGTCTATTCCTTTAGCGAACCAAACAACAGAATACAATTCCTATTCTATTCTTTACCTATTCTATTCCCTATGGAATAGCATTCCTATTCCCTCCAAATTCATTCCGTGAACCAAACGGCCCGTGAATGTTTTCTCTCTCTATTTAAACTCTATTTTTCTCCCTATTTAAACTTTATAAACCTATCTAAATTTAATAAAATTATTTTTTTCTTCATTATCATATATTTTCCTCATACCTAAACTCTACCATTTTTTCTCTCTCCTTAACTTTACAATCTTTCTCTAAAAATTCGAAATAATATTATTTTTACTTCATTATTGCTTGTTTATATTGATTTTTATTTTTTTTAATGAAATTTTCATCCCTAACTTCTCTAATTCTCCCTAAATACATGAACAAAGTAAAACTTTCATCGTCAAATTTTAGTATATGTTTCATAATATTCATATAAATGCTATATATTTTGATTTTGATTTTTTTAATGTTTATATTTGTAATATATATATATATATATATATATATATATATATATATATATATATATATATTAACAACTAACAGGTTACTACGAATAGCGAACTACTGTTCGCAACAACAATTTGGGGTTGCAAACAGTATCACCTTGTTGTTGTTTGCAGTCTCAAATTGCTATTGCAAATAATAGTTCTTTGTGTGATACCTAGCAATATATGAAGTATAATTTTTATATATATTATTAATATTAGATTTTAATTTTTTTATTTTATGGAACTTGTAATTATATTTTTAAATATTTTATTTGATCAATTCTTTTATTATAAATTTTATTGTTCAATATTGTTATGAATTTCTAATGAAATAGTTTTTTTTTTTTATGTTTATCAATAATATATATAAGTATTAGCATATAAGTCTCAGCATACTATGGATAAAAATAATAATGTTGAGAATGTTGTTGTGAGTGAAGAACTATATAATAAGAAGAATTTTATGATATATTATAAATGTTTTGTAAGAAAATTATAAATGATAAGAATCAAAATTATTGAAAGTTTGTAAGGATGTATTCAATTTAGAATTTCAATGACTTTTGTAGACTTTTTAAAATAAAAAGTTGATAAAAGTCTATGAATATTTTTTATATAGACTTTTATAGAGTCTTATAAAGTTTTAAAAAGTTTTGAACGACTCTATGAAAGTCAATCAAAGTTGATTAAAATCTATCATTTTAAAAGTCTTTATAACTCTACAAAAGTCATGATTGAATACACCCCCTAAGTAACATTACTATTACTTTCCAAAAAAAAAAGTAACATTACTATTTATTTGATCTACGGAGTAATATATTATATTCTCGCACTTTCTCTCTCCCCGTTTGCGTGTTCTCTATAATATCCATTAATGCTATATTTTTCTCTCTGTATTCTCTCTCTCTCTCTCTCTTTCCTCCATCAATGCATATATTTTCATAGCATAGGTTTACCCTGTACACATTTATGGATGCTGAGAGTGAGAGCTTTTCATGGCTTGCAATTAACTGCAGATTGACTTTCATCTTCTCTGCATTTACTGTACCTCTCTCCTCTCCCTATCTCTCTCTCTCTCTTCCTCACTTCCCCTTTACATATATATGAACGTATTGATTATTTCTCTATATTTGATATGCATTGAATGCGTATGCAATGTTGTCTAGGGCATTAAATTGAAATCCTCATGCAAACACAGTGATACACACCGGCACAGACTGGTACGACAAGTTGGCCGAAACTGTTTGGTCACTTTCTGACTATAAAGCACGAATTCAATGCGATGCTGAGCTGATATGAATTGGATTTTGAGTAATTGATGCCTTCCCTTTTTTCTGAACTATTCAATTTTACTTAGAAAGCTTATTCTGCAAATACTATTTCTGCTGCCACTCTTTCTTTGAATTCAGATTGTTGCATAAAAATGAAATTGAAGAGAGGATCCAGGGTGGGTTTTAGGTTTTGCGTGAGGTGGGGGGAGGGAAACCATTAAATTCTTCTTCCGTGTTATATTGCATCAATCATTTATTTCTCCTCGTTTCTTGAAGGCACATAGAGTAAAGAGGCAAACATTATTTGTGATTCTCTGTGTGTATATGCATATACATTTTTATAGACATAAAAGGAGAATATAGTCACTACTTAGTTTTAGTTAAATTGCTTGGACATACACTTTATACTTGTATTGACCTAATGTTGGAAGCAATTCTTTAAAAACAGGTAAAAGATTGTGAACATCTATCTATTTATTTTGCTCTAGAATGAGTGAACTATAAACATGAGATCTAGGAAACAATGCTTTAAAAAAAAAAAAATAAAAAAATTGTAAACAATTGTGTATATACTAGAATGACTAAAAAGTAAATGTAACATTTTTGTTAGTGTGAACTAATCATTCAACAGTTCTATATGTTATCATCTTTTTTTGGTACTCCGATAGAAAACCCTTGGTATCCAGTAATTATATTGTACTTCAACTAATATGAAGTTTAGTTACTATCATGGTTGAAAAAATCGCTAGGCACTCCTCGGGCGCATCTAGCGCCTAGGCGGCGATTATCGGCGCCTGTGTATTTTTAATTTTTTTTTTAAATTTTTTAATTTCTTAAAACTTGATAATTATAAACTATTTAATACTTTAATAGTTAATATTAAAATATTAAATATTAACCTAAAAAACATCTAGAGTTTGAACAATTTAGAGTTATTTCGCTCAATGTCGTTTTGAGTGAAATAACTCATTTAGAAAAGAAGGGAACAATAACTAATCGGCTGACTAGGCGACCTAGGCGCTACGCCAGTGCCTAGCGCCTAGGCGGAATTTTTGCAACACTTGTTACTATTGAATGTCATAGTGGGAACTCTCTCAACTGTTGTTGCTCCATTCACAAAAGGCTTGAAACCAACACATTGCTCAAAAGGACCGAGTTCTTTCCATTCTAACTGCAGGTTGTTGGTAAATTGTATGTTATTATTAGTATGCACAAATTGTCATTTGAAGGGAGTATAGTCAAGGAAATAATCTTTGAAAAACTATAATATAAGATGCTGTGGATGCAATTCTCCATGGGTATTGAATTACTTAGAGTCTTCACATAGGCTGTATAGTCCCCCACAGAGACACTATATAGACATCATATCATGGCAATAAATGTGTAACCGGCATCGGTCTCGCCAGTCGCATTTCTTCTGCTATGGGGTCTGCTGCAGAGTAGGTGTGGTACTATTCCCATATGACTTGTCAAATCATACACACTCTTTGTGGTCCTTCCAAAGATTTATGTTTTAATGCTTAAATCCCTGCTCTTTTATTGATCACTGCAGAGCAATTAAATTCAGAGAGCTAGAGAGTGGGGGAAGAGAGTGGGAATGGGTAGAACACCTTGTTGTGACAAGAAGGGGCTGAAGAAAGGGCCTTGGACTCCTGAAGAAGATGAAAAGCTCATTGATTTCATCAAGAAGAATGGGCAAGGCAGCTGGCGTTCTCTTCCCAAGCTTGCAGGTGTAAACTTCACTCCTTTCCTTAATTCTTGGTCCTTCACTGTTTTACAGTATTTTGAAAACAATCTACAGTTAAAAAGAAGCATTTGTAGTATTGCTAGTACCCAACTATGTTGGAGGACTGATTATCCTGTTTATCCAAGCCATTTAAGAGAACTCTATGAACTACATTAAGTCATATGACAGAGAGTTTTTCATTCAATAGCAATTGTCTCAGTTGCCTCTCCGTTTGGGTTGTAATTTCCTCACTGATTTGAAACTGATATTGCATCACTTCATTAGAAAGTCTTTTGAGGATAAATTTCAAGTAAAAGAAAAGCATTTAGAGCATAATAACTAAACTAATAGCCAATTTGCAGAGTCTAATTTTATTTTTAATAAGTGAAGAGATCAAATTGTCTAAGCTATTTAAGATAAATCAATGGGCATATCTCTAGAGAAAAAGTTTTTCTTTGAACAGCACAAGCATGTCTTCTCCGTTTTGAGTTTGTAAGTTGCATATCTGAAACTCATATCACATTTCTACACTAGGAAGATATTATCTGCTAAGAGCTAAACTATCATTGCACTGATAAGTCAAGATTCTCAGTGTCAGTTAATGTCTAGAATTTTACTTGTTTTTAACTTATTGCGTTCCTTTAATTAGCACATAATTTTGGATTGTCCCTTATTTCTTAAAAAATTCTTTGGTTGTTCTAAGGTATATTTCCCTTTGTCTTACATAAAACTGGTGATCTGTCCTATTACTGTTATATGGGCATATTATGATCTTTAATGACTGTCTTGGTAAAGTCTTTTCTGAATAATGTTATTTAATACTCCGTATTTGCTTGTGAACAGAATAACCAAGGGATCTAAATAGTTAAAAGTTGTCCCTAGGTAGTACTTAATAAGAATGAAACTTACTAATGGGTGGACCGGCAATTGTTAATAAAGGGTATTTTACTAAAAATTCAAGACTTAGCATCTTAATTTGTTTTAGCAATAGATGAAGAGAAGCTTGTAGGAGTTGTGATGTACAGAGTACATATCTTTGAAAATGAAATATTTTCTTGTCAAAATATTGTTTGACTCTGCATTTGGATAAATTTCACTATGAAGAAACCAAAAAGGAAGCTATGCTTCCCATTTCTCTAGAGGAGCAATCAGCTGTTCAATTTGCAGGAAGAATTGGTGGTTTATAATGTCAATTACAGATTACCTTCATGGAAATACGATATTGTTTGTGTATTCATTTTTGACTAATGTAACATGTTTCATCAAAATATAATATACATTGTTGAGGTACCGTGTCAGTAACATTATTCTACCTATCATTGTAATTTATGGTAATCCTTGATTGTTCTCCTCTTTCTCTAATCTGTATCTCTATGATGAATTCTAAGATGGTAAATGTGATTTCTTCTTTCAATTAAAGAGAGAATTGTCTTAAGAACAAGTTCTCATTTAGGAAATATCTTTCGGTCATTTTCCAACTTGCAGGACTTCTTCGCTGTGGGAAGAGTTGCCGTCTCCGATGGACAAACTACCTCAGGCCAGACATCAAAAGAGGTCCATTCAGCTCTGAGGAAGAGAAGCTTGTGATACAATTACATGGCATTCTTGGCAACAGGTTTAGTTAGCTTGTTTTGAATAGTCATGGAATTTTCATTTTCATAGCAAGAATAATTAACACAAACTGTTTCTTCCCAGGTGGGCTGCAATTGCCTCCCAGTTACCTGGAAGGACTGATAACGAGATTAAGAACTTGTGGAATACCCATCTGAAGAAGCGCCTGCTTTCAATGGGCATTGATCCTCAGACTCACGAGCCCTCATCTGAATCTATTGGGCCACAGAGGAGACTGCCTACAACCCCCTCTGCCCGTCACATGGCACAATGGGAAAGTGCTAGGCTTGAAGCTGAGGCTCGCCTTTCAAGAGAATCAAAACTCTTGGTTCCATCAACAATTGGAGGTTCTGAAGCTGACTTTTTCCTACGCATATGGAATTCGGAGATAGGAGAAGCATTTCGTAAGTTCAAGAAAGGAGTCAAATTTGCTTGTCAAAGTCCGATCTCCCAAGCATCTTCATCAACAAAATATGGGTCAGCTTCAGGAACCACCACCGAGATGGACATCACTCTAGCTGGTTCTGCAGATGCGGGGGGCAACCCAAATGAAGATCCAGAGGGGAAGTGTAACAGATCTTACACCGATGATCCCTTACAAGGGTCTGAAACATCATGTTCCGACGAGTTGGAAGATTCATCTGAATCAGCTCTACAACTTCTATTGGATTTCCCTACCTATAACGACATGAGCTTCTTAGGACACACTGACACGTACAGCATATATCCTGCGTTTTTGACCGAAAGCACTTTGAACTGCTCCTCTGCAGAACATTAAAGTCCCTTGTCCATCTAGAGAACCAGATTGTCTATATTTTTGAGCTGGTTGTTTTTTGGTAGCTCCAGCTGTAGAATTCTGGACATTGACTTTATATTATGTGCCCAAGAGTATGCATATACTAGTTGATGTTTGTATAAGAATGTATCCAAAACATCTAATCTGGTCTGGTCTGGTCTAGTATTGTACCTTATTGCACTGCAAGTATTGTTTTGGTATATGTTACTGAGTGTTGCAAAACTAAAAATCAGGTCTAAAACTTGTTTCTGAAATCTTTGGGGCAATTTATTTATATTTTTCTGGGGTGACGAGGGAAACCCGCAACTATTAGCCGAGAATGTGCATTGGGTAAATCCCGCCTTGTGACTCTAGTTGGTAAAAGACTAGAAGGAGATAAACCAGCTTAGCTTTTCCATAGCTGACCGGCTCAAATCAAGAAGGCTGAAATTTGAACTCGTGACCTTGTGATTACAAGGATACTGGTATGTTGTCAGAGAGGCAGACAACACAGCATAGCATAGAATAGCAAATAGAATGAAATATTGAGGTAGAGCTGTTCAATGTAAAGTAGTGTATTGAATGAAACATAGAAAAGGTTTGGAAGAAATAATTAAAGACAAGTAGTCTATAACAAGTTGATGCTTGTGGTAACAAAACCCTCAACAGTCAGCCATAGTAGCCCAATTGAGGCTCTTATGAATAAGTTAAACTGAAAGCCTAAATTGCAGTAAAAGTAAAAAATTATAGTAGCAGCAGCAGCAGTAGTATAGTACCAGACTACCAGTAGGTACTAAGAAATATTGTGGGAGATGAGAGTGTCTAGCTTAGTGAGCTCTGTCTCTGAAGATGTCCAAGCTCATCTCACTAGCATCAGTTGCTTGCAGCTCCACCTGCACCCCATCTAACTCCCTCCTGAATCTGTCTTTTGAGCTTGCATACACCATCTTGCTCCTTATCTTTGCTGTTTCGGGAGACCTACATATACAATACAGTACGTTACGTTGTTAGAATCAAACGCTTACCACTACGCCAAAAGCTTTAGCTAGTAGCTAAGGCGCAACTTTATTTCACTATAGACTGGACCGCCATCACATTTTCGAGAAGCAGGTGCTGGACTTATTAGCCCTTTACCGGTCTCTGCTCAACTATCCCCTAGCCACCAAATGATGGACTTGACCCTTTACCGGCCTCTGCCCAACACAGAAGGTGAACCCCAACGCTTACCAAAAGCTTTAGCTAGTAGCGAAGGCGCAACTTTATTTCACTATAGACCGGACCACCATCACATTTTCGAGAAGCAGGTGCTGGACTTATTAGCCCTTCACCGGTATCTGCTCACCAAATGATGGACTTGACCCTTTACCGGGCTCTGCCCAACACAGAAGGTGAACCCTACCTACCATTTAATCATTCATCATCATCAATCAAAATGGACAGTGATTTACCACGCAATGAAGAAGATCTTGCTCCTTTGACAGTTCTCATCAGTGGTGAAATCGTAGTCGAAAACAGCATATCGACACTCATCTGCAGGCAAGCTTTTGGTGAAATCCACATGAGTCTCCTGCTGATTGCCCATTTTCTCTACAACCACCACCTGGGTCTCCTCGTCAATCTTGAACACAATGTACCTGAAGCACCTCTTTGCCTTCAACTCCATGAATTTCAGCTTGCATTCATCAACCACACCCACACCAGATGCAGAATTTGCCTAGTCAAACACCATTATCAATATCTTCCCACTCACAAACTCCATTACTCATAACACAACATTCATACATGCATATACATACACATATCTTTCTCGTGCAATCAATCAATCAATCAATTACAGTTACTTAATTTTCTCATTCTATGCAATGCTCTTTATTGATTTTAATGAAAATCACAAAATTAATGTTGAACCCGCAATCAGCTTTGGATCATATCATCGCCCGATCATCATTCATAAAATTCTGTAACAATACTATAGAATTTGCAGTTTCTCATATTTTGCATGCATTTCACATATATAACAATTGCGAATTTCACAAATCACCATCGGAGCAAAACTATACATACTAGAACCATATTAACAAATACAATATATAGTGAAATCCAAATTAAATTAAATTGAGAACAATCAACTTTCAGGATCGTATAGTACTGATAAACTTATGGATGCATACAATACATAACATTACTTTTGTTTAATATACATATATGCATGTTATGTATGTATAGTATTTGAAAATGGATGAAGATCGAATTGAAGCGAGAAACATACCATTTCGTGATGCTGTGAAGGTGAGGAGCCTTGGCTTAGCTTGTTGGATGAAATGATCGAAAATGCAAAGTAGATAATTAAATTAAAATGATGATCGATGGATTAACTAGAAAGATGGAGCAGAAAGGCAAGAGGAGAGAGTTGTGGAGGGTGATAGAATGAAGAAGCATTCAAAGGGCTGTGAGTATTTTCAGGACAGTTGTTTTTGAGAGAATAAAGGTTTTCATTACCCATGGAGTGAGTCTCCTCCTTAATTTTGCATACATGCTCCTTTTTCGCCACAATCTAATCAATTTTTATTATTCAATCTTTCAAATGTTTTTGTTATATATATTTTTTTAATTAAATGATTTATTTATTACGGGGTATTAGATATATTCATGGATTAAATGAGAAAATAAAAACTTACTATATTATTCTCAATCAATATTTAATTTTACCTTACAATTTTAACCACAGTTACATAGCTTAATAAATTTTCATTTTGCCCGCATAGACAGCTCAATTGATCACATAGGTGAAGTTTGGGAACAATGACCCGGGATGGAGTCTCACCAACGACAGTGTGGGAGCAACCTCTTAAAGTGAGGGGGCTCTTTGAACCAAAAAAATTTGGTGATTTCATTAAAAGTCATTAAGAAGTTCACAAATATTATAGACACAAGTGTCAAATAGGCTCATCTACTACTGCGAACTGCTCAATTCCATCACGAATTAAATTAAGTGCCAAATAGATCCATCTACCAGCTAAATTTGCTCGATTGACTTTTTTTGCAGGTTGCCTATTCAATTATTAAAAACATATATAATAATAATAATAATAATAATAATAATAATAATAATAATAATAATAATAATAATAATAATAATAATAATAATAATAATAATAATAATAAATAAAATAAAAAAATAAAAATTTCAGCCACCGATGGCTGCCAGACAGTCGACAGCCGTGGCTGTCTGGCGAGGACAGCCATGGCTGACAAAGATGAGGTCCAGATCTGGACTTCATGTTTGAGGTCAAGATCTAGACCTCAAACGGTCTGGAACGAGGGCGGTGGCCGCCCTCGTTCCAAACGGCCATGGCCGTCCCTAGACAACCATGGTCATTCCAGGCCGTTTGAGGTCCAGATCAGGACCTCATCTTTGACAATCGTGGCTATCCGGTTGTCCTCGCCGGATAGCCACGACTATCAGCTGTCTGGCAACCACCGGCTGTACGCGCGGACAGTCGGTGGCTGAAATTCTTTTATTATTATTATTATTATTATTATTATTATTATTATTATTATTATTATTATTATTTATTTTTTATATATATATATATATATATATATATATATATATATATATATATATATATATATATATTTATTTATTTATTTATTTATATTTATTTATTTATTTATTTTAATAATTGAATAGGCAACCTGTTAGCAACCTGCAAAAAAAAAAGTCAATCGAATAAATTTAACTGGTAGATGGGCTTATTTGACACTTAATTTAGTTTGTGGTTGGAATTGAGCACTTCGCAGTAGTAGATGGGCATATTTGATACTTGGTGCCTATATTATATATTATATATTAGGGTCTTAATTAAGTGGTGCAAGTTGACTAGGCTTATTAAGTGGTCTGGTTGGACTTAATAACTAGAAGTTGTTAGTCCATCAAACTCTGTGCCTAATATAATCCTGGATTGATGGGATACATGATGATGGATTAGATAGCACATTCAATTACGACACTCATACTGCTCATTAGACACCAATACACCATCTAGGGTTCTGAGTCAGGTATGAGGCAAATAATGGCTAACGGTCTACCGTTAATGTTAGTCATGTTATTATTATTATTATTATTATTATTATTATTATTATTATTATTATTATTATTATTATTATTATTATTATTATTATTATTATTATTATTACTATTATTACTATTATTCCTGTAATATTTGATTAAGAATAGTTTACGTGAGATGATCTGTTTTTGTATTGTAATAGTTATCATTTTCCAACTGAATGAATCATCACCATTCTCATCTGGTATCAGAACAACACATCAGGAACATCAACTATGGCTGGAGATCAACACGGCTACGCTTCCGCTCTTATACGAGGTCAGATCTCTCGTATACTATTGTTCAGTATAGTTAGATTATTTGTATCTAACATTTGGTTTCAGATCCTTTATAATCTCTGTCTGGTTAATCGTATTGCCTAAAATCAACATTAACAGGGTGTTTGGTTGGAGTGGGGGAATTATGTGGGAAATGAATTGTAATTCCATGGGAGTTGAATTACTGGGAATAAAGTGGGAATTTAAATTCCAGCGTTTGGTTGACAGGAATAGAATTACTGGGAATTTTAATTCCAATGTTTGGTATACATGGGAATTGGAAGGGAATAAGTAGTATAAAGTCCAAAATATCCATTGTTGTTGTCAAGCATTAATTTTAGTCAAAAAATGGAGGGGTAATTTTGACTTATCACTATCTTTTTTTCTTCCTTAAATCCCAGGAATTAAAATACCAAGGGGGACATGGGATTTTAATTCCATAAAAATGGGGGAATTGCAATTCCCTCCAACCAAACTATGGAATTTAATGACATTTGGAATTAAGTGGGAATTAAGTGGAAAGGGAATTTAAAATCCCTCCAACCAAACGCCCTGTAAGTTTTTCATATATTAAGTTTTGATATATCTTCATCTACCTAGCTTCCAATTACAACCCTTTAATTATTCAAAATATGCATATAAAAAAAATATATCGTTTGATATAGTTGAGCAAATTGATTATATATATTTTGGAATTTGGATGGATTATTTGTAATTGATTTAGGTTGGCTAGGATTAATTTTAGTTATTTTTGAGCTATTAATTCAATTTCAACATTAAGAAATAAGGAGTATTTGAATTTCTTCAAAAAATTTGGACTGTTGGAATTTAATTTTCACATTAAGCAAAGATTATA